TCGGTTTGATGACGTCATGATTATGAAACCTTGCAAATTCATTTGTGGTTGCTAACGGAATATGAAGGGAAAATGTGGTAAAATTTTGATTGAGGGTTTTTAAATTTGAAAAAATTGAACTCTTTTTGATGTGCCGCTAGAGGGCGCCTTTTCGAAGATGCGTCAAAATTATGTTTTTGTATTTGGCATTCCTTACTTAAAGGGAATATACAACATTTGCAAACATCGAAAAATAAAACTACCAAGTTTTTGCGAAATACCTTAATAGGATGTTGATAAATGACAGTCTAAAGCATCCTGTAAAATTATGGCACCTGGTATACTGTCATTTTCAAGAAAAGTGGTATTTTTGTATCAATTTCCAACGCTGATCGGCCGATCAGCGTTGGAAACAACTGGCTTTTTTTCTTCAAATACTGGCCCCAATTGACCATTGCACTTGTTTGCAATTGATTACAAACATATGCATGGGTACGAGCCAGCTAGACTGGTTCCCTGACCTTACAATTCCCCAATGTATGTAAACTGCTCTGTTTCTTCTTATATGGAGTCAGGGAACCAGACTACAGGAAAATGATCGTTTTTCTTGGTTTTTATAGCAATTTCGAACCCAAAACCTCCAAAAAGTCAGTGTAACTATATTTGCTTTATATTTCCAACCCCCCAATTCCATCCATTTCTGAAAATTACAGCAAAAGCAAATGATGTATATTCCCTTTAACACTTCCATAATATATTTGTCTGTAGTAAAATGCTTCCATTTTAGAGTTAGATTCAATTTCTATTGCACTTCCGGTAACACCGGAAGTAAAGGTCAAGCGGTTTTGTGCCAGGGAATAAGAGATGTTGCTCAAGGCACCCTCTACAATCTCATGAAAAATTTAACATGATACTCTATTTAGTTCAAGAGATATATAGCTCAAACTATTTTGTCAAATTTTGCTCCCAAATCGCTTGTAATTTATCTTTGTAACACAATTCAAGTTCACACTAGGGTTTATGATCATCCCATGAACCGTTCGGAAGAATCTGTGCGTTGTTTAAATTTCAGGCTAATGTATTCATTTTGAATTCACCTAACTTTGACCTTCTGGTAGACCCGGAAGTAAAGGTCAAGCGAGTTCACGTAGTAGACAAAAAATGTTTATCAATTGATGGTTTATCTGATTACGAGGTTGGAAAATAATTAATCATTTTGTTCAAGAGTTATAGGTGAAAGAAGATCGTCGGTTTTTTTTCAGCTAAAATCGCTTATAATTTGACAACCGATGACGTCATCATGACGTCGGGGTAATATGCACCACTCGGGATGAGGGTTGATATAATTATGTTTAAAGTCACAAGTTCATATCATATACAGTTTTTGAGAAAAACCGCCGAGAATTATTGTCCGGAAAAAGAAGAAACAAAGAAGATTAATTTGGAACAACTCCAAAGAGTAATCGGGTTGTGCCCGACCACTTAAAGAAAGAAAGAAGACTAGAGGTTCGCGTTTGTTAATGTTACAAACGCAGAGTGGTCGGGCAGGCATTTTTGTCATTATACACTGCCGAGTTCAGCTATGAATATTTTTATGTAAGAACAAAGGATCACAAAATTAAATCCTTTCCAGTACAATTAATTATTTTGTGATAAAATGCAGTAACCATTATAATTATGTACACATGCAAGTTATTTCTGGCTCGATGATGTCATTATTCAAAAATAACAGCGTTGCTGTTGAAACCCCTCAGCCAGAGTCAAGTTATCATCCGGAAACCATTAACCTTTAACTCAACATGGTGACCTTGACCTTTGACCCCAGAACCAGTTCAAACATGCCTGTACCGATGGAAAACCCCCTACCGAATTAGACACCAAAATTTCATTTCTAACTCAAGTTATCATTCGGAACCATTTACATTTAACTCACCACGGTGACCTTGACCTTTGACCTTTTGACCCCAAAACCAATCCCAGCTTGCCTGTACCCAAAGGAAACCCCCTACCAAAGTTAGACATCAAAATCTCATTTCTAACTCAAGTTATCATCCGGAAACCATTTACCTTGAACTCACCATGCTGACCTTGACCTTTGACCTTTTGACCCCAAAACCAATCCCAACTTGCCTACTCCCAAGGGTAACCCTCTACAAAAGTTAGACACCAAAATCTCATTTCTAACTCAAGTTATCATCCGGAAACCATTTACCTTTAACTCACCATGGTGACCTTGACCTTTGACCTTTTGACCCCAAAACCAATCCCAACTTGCCTACTCTCAAGGGCAACCCTCTACCAAAGTTAGACACCAAAATATCATTTCTAACTCAAGTTATCATCCGGAAACCATTTACCTTTAACTCACCACGGTGACCTTGACCTTTGACCTTTTGACCTCAAAACCAATCCAAACTTGCCTACTCCCAAGGGCAACCCCCTACCGAAGTTACAACCCCAAACGACATTTCTAACTCAAGTTATCATCCGGAAACCAAGCTACCCGGACGGACGTTCCAGCCAGACGGAATTGTGGGGTGATAGCATTGTGTTCCCATTATCCCTTTTTCTAAAGATTCCCTTCTGGGGTGATGTTTTTCTATTGTGAAAAAAGTGGGGTGATGTGTCCTGAAAGGAACATCACCCCACAAGGGTGGTATGGTCAGAACGCACTCACGGGCGGACGGATGGACGCCCTAGGCGATGACAATACCCCTCGAGCCTCTCGGCTGAGGGGTAAAAACAGGAAGTGAATACTGATTTAGTTCGGAATGGATCGAATGATATCCATTAAATTTAAAATATGGTTGTTTTTAAATTCTCATAGAAGTAACTTCCGGTCTGATGACGTCATGAATATGAAACCTTGCCAAGTTATTAGTAGTTCATGAAAGAATATCAAAGGGCGATTTAGTAAAATTTGAACGGATGATTTTCAAATTAAAGAAAGCAAACACTGTTTTAGGTGCTGCTAGGGGGCGCCCTTTCGAAAGATGACGTCATCACACTGTTTTTTTTTTTGTCTGGCATTCATCACTAATTAAGACTATCAAAATGATATGTGTGTAGTTTAATGCTTCCGCCTTTGAATTTTATTCAGTTTTCATTGAAGGTCAAGCGGTCTTATGTCTGGGGACAAGAAATGTTTCTCATGACATAGTCTACATCCTCACGAAAAAAAAAAGAACATGATACTCTATTTAGTTCGAAAGATATAGCACAAACTATTATGTAAGAATTTACCCTAAAATTGCTTGTAATTTGATACCTAATGACGTCATGATGACTTAACAACATTTATAACATCTTCGTAACATGGTACAAATTCACACAAGGTTTCTGGATCATACTGTAAACCGTTTGGAAGGAATTTTGCTTTGTTTTGATTTCAGGCTAAAGTCTACATTTTGAATTCACTGAACTTTTACCTTCCGGTTGACCCGGAAATAAAGGTCAAGCAAGTTCACGTACAGGACAAAAAATGTCTATCAATTCATGTTCTATCTGATAATTACAAACACTATTGATGATTTTGTTCAAGAGTTATAGGTAAAAGTAATTTGTCACTTTTTCAGCTAAAATCACTTGTAATTTGACATCCGATGACGGCATCATGACGTCAGAGTAATATGCACCACTACGGATCAGGGTCGATATATGTTGAAAGTTACAAGTTCATATCATGAACCGTTTAAGAGAAAAGCCGCGGAGAAGTATTGTCCCGAAAAAAAGAGAAAGATTTATCAGAACAATAACAGAGAGTAGTCGGGTTGTGCCTGACCACTCAACAAAATAGAGATTAAAAACATTAATCCTAACTCCCTAGCATAATTTACTAGGAACCATACCCATCCAGGCTAATTCCAACACCCACATGGGAAATCATACACACACACTGTTGGACTTAGTTTCTGGAGGTATGCCAAACCCAATGTAAAAGACCATCAGTTTAGGGGTACTGTACCTATCCCAACAGATTTCAACTAAACCTGCTGTTGGGCTTTGATGGGTTGAGTTAGGTTAGGGTTAAAGAAAGCAAAACTACGCTCAACCCCAATCCATTACTTACAATAACGTAGACATATTAAAAAATAACAGCGTTGCTGTTCAAACCCCTCAGCCAGAGTCAAGTTATCATCCGGAAACCATTAACCTTTAACTCAACGTGGTGAACTTGACCTTTGGCCTTTGACCCCAGAACCAGTCCCAACATGCCTGTACCAATGGGAAACCCCCTACCGAAGTTAGACACCAACATTTCATTTCTAACTCAGGGGAACCCTCTTCCAAAGTTAGACACCAAAATCGCATTTCTAACTCAAGTTATCATCCGGAAACCATTTACCTTTAACTCACATTGGGGACCTTGACCTTTGACCTTTTGACCCCAAAACCAATCCCAACTTGCCTACTCCCAAGGGCAACCCTCTACCAAAGTTAGACACCAAAATCTCATTTCTAACTCAAGTTATCATCCTGAAACCATTTACATTTAACTCACCACGGTGATCTTGACCTTTGACCTTTTGACCCCAAAACCAATCCCAACTTGCCTACTCCCAAGGGCAACCCCCTATCAAAGTTAGACACCAAAATCTCATTTCTAACTCAAGTTATCATCCGGAAACCATTTACCTTTATCTCACCATGCTGACCTTGACCTTTGACCTTTTGACCCCAAAACCAATCCCAACTTGCCTTCTCCCAAGGGCAACCCTCTTCCAAAGTTAGACACCAAAATCTCATTTCTAACTCAAGTTATCATCCGGAAACCATTTACATTTAACTCACCACGGTGACCTTGACCTTTGACCTTTTGACCTCAAAACCAATCCCAACTTGCCTACTCCCAAGGGCAACCCCCTACCGAAGTTACAACCCCAAACAACATTTCTAACTCAAGTTATCATCCGGAAACTAAGCTGCCCGGACGGACGGACGGACGGACAGACACACACACATCCGGCCGGACGGACGCCCTAGGCGATGACAATACCCCTCGAGCCTCTCGGCTGAGGGGTAAAAATTGGTACTTATTTTGATTTGGCCATAACTCAATAAACATTTACCCAATTGGAAAGATTTCTTCATTGTCGAAAAGCTAATGGATATACTCTCTAATTATGTATAAAAAAAATGATGACTTTGTTTTTTAGTTGTGAAAACAAAGACGCTTTGAGGTTTTTTTTGTGCAAGACACCCTGGGGTTGAATAGGTTGCTATAAACATTAAAAAGGTTGGTGCCCCATAATGGGGTCGCTCAGAAATGAGAACCATTCAACAAAAAAGGATGCCCAAGTAGCAAATATACAAGATATTTTAACTTTGAAAAATAAATTTGAACAAAAACTCAGCAGTCTCAATATTTCCCACCACCACTCACAAAAGTTCTGATGATGAAAAATTCCATAAGTCTTGAATCAACAAAAAGTTTCAGCACGCACAATGGTTTTTCCGTAGAAGAGCGTCCCGGATCCCGTTTGCGTACAGCGATCACATGCCCAGATTTGTCAAGACGAACAAAGACACCGATATCGGCAACAGTTCAGAAGTATGGAAAACTTGAAGTAGTTCCGTCAAGTCAAATTGTGAGCCATTAACCTGGTTTTAAGTTCAGTTCAGTTCAATCGAGTTTAATTTGCACCAATCCAGTTCCTTCGTGGCTACGAATCCTCGTATAAAGGTACATCTTCAAGTTGCAGTGGTAAAGGTGGAGAGGGCTATTTGGCCTAATTATTGCCCCCCCCCCCCCCCCCTCCTTCAAATGATCAGTTCCATCTATAGTGTCTGATGCTGTCCAGAACTATCACAATAAGCAGCAACTCCAGAAACATCTCTACATTGGTCTGTGGCTGAGATACAACTTCCTGGATACTGTGGCTATAAAATAAGCGAGTGAAGAGGGGCGGCTGAAGCCCCATAATTTGGGTCATTTTATCTGCGAAGCTATGTACAAGTCCAACTGATGCTGAGGTCATAGCTAACCAGCTGTGTGGTCCACCTGCAGAAGAAGACCCAAGAAAGGAAAAAAATAGTGTTGTCAGAATAGAATTTCATCAGACACGGGCTCATAGCCATAACAATCTGAACCAGCTGAGTTTGGTCTAGAACACACCCCTGACTGTAAAGGCACCTCTATGCTTTTTTTAAGGATGTGGTACTTTTGGTCAGGAGGTTAATTCTTTCTAATATATTTGTACATTGTACGTATTCACTAGAACTGTTTCTTCTATAAAATTTGATTCAAATTTGATTGGCAAAAAGTGGCTTGATGTACCAAAAGAAAGGTCTTTCTGTCAATTCACTTATACTGACCCCTTTGAGCCAAGGAGGGTGATATGAGAGATCACAATATTTGCGTACGTAGTAGAACTAGCTGACGATCGAGGCTGAATGCTGTCACAGGAAGTTTGCGGTAGAGCAAGGATGCTTGGTCCCTGTGCACCCTCGTGATACAGCGATGAACAGTTCCAGAAGTGTACAACCTGAAAATTAGACAAATTGGAAAATGTTTGTCATCATGTTAATGTTGGGTGGAAATTGACAAAAGCTGATATTTCGTCAGTGACACCACACAGTAACACCCAAGTGGACTTGAATGCTTGCTACGCACGCGTATTTTACAGAACCGAGCGATTTTCTTTTTCACTAAGTAATTACCAGTCATGTACACTGTGCACTGAATCGGTCATTTTCGTTTTCATGAAGTAACACTCATCTTTATTTCACCAGTTGGAAGGCTTTTATAAAATTTGCTGTAATCCTACAAGGTATTAATTACATTTGACTGTCAAACGTTTTAAAAAGCTTTCATCCAAAATAGTATTTCCGTAACAGTGTGAAAAGGAAACGTTCCGACCAGTGTCCAATGTGAATCGGTCATTTTCGTTTTCATGAAGTAACACTCATCTTTATTTCACCAGTTGGAAGGCTTTTATAAAATTTGCTGTAATCCTACAAGGTATTAATTACATTTGACTGTCAAACGTTTTAAAAAGCTTTCATCCAAAATAGTATTTCCGTAACAGTGTGAAAAGGAAACGTTCCGACCAGTGTCCAATGTGCGCTCGTACACTTGAGTGTTACTCTGTGAAACCAACATTTGTCATTTTGCAGTTTTAAACCAACACTAGGCCTAAAGAGGACTTGGGTGTTGCTTCGTGGCATGGGCGTCGCCAGGATTTTTTTTCTAGATGGGGGCAAAGCACATTTTCCCCTTAAAATCCCTATATTTTCCAGCATTTTCCCAATGGATCATTTTTTTTTGAGGGAGGCAGGGACATTTGCCCCCCCCCCCACCCCATTAAATTAACAACAATATGATTTCGCGCATCTTTCTTTCCCTATTTTTCTTCTTTTTTTGCTTGCCCCCACCCCCCCCCCCCTCGCGACGCTCATGTTTCATGGTGTCGGTGAAGTTTTAGATTTAAGATTAATGATGTCATTCATGAATTGTTTATATGTTGTCTGTGGGAGGTTGGTGGATCTCAAAGTGCATAATAACAAAGCGTGACATCATTCCCTTTGTCAAGTTGCAGGCTATCATTCATATAATTAACTGTCACGTTAATTAATATGCACAAAGTCGCTCTTCGGCTTGACTGTATTCAATACTACAAAATCCTTCCACAGTAATAAGTGGTTTTGAAATTTATTTTAAGGATTAGGCAGAACATTTCAGGACTTCCAGAGACAGTAATTGTGATAGAAGAGGCTATGCAATGTGGGGAAATTTTGTCCAAAAGTCACTTTCCTTGGAAATAGGTTACAGTAAGTTCTTTACAAAAGTACAAAATGCAAAATCAATTACCTCATCAAGCCTAAAATTACTGCTGTTTCCAGTGTGTTTCTCATCAGATCACATTTGGGCTATAAGTGAGAAATCAAATGGAAGAAAAGAACCACAGACATTTAAGTGTCAGATGTCAAGCAAATATTTGAAGGGATAAAGCTCAGACCTAGATATTTGCAAAGTAATATAATTTTCAACAATTTTGAATTTCCTTTTTCCATTTAACTAAGGACTTTTTTTTTTACCTTACTCAAGCTTCATGGACAAGAAACAAAACTTTAATATTGACTTACAAATGCTGATCTTTATAAAACTGGTTCGATCAGGAAAGAGATGATTGTCCATTAAAAATGAAGGTCCAAATTTTTGTCAAAAAGTTTTTGTTCAAGCAAAAGTCTTAAACATCTCAAGTCATATGCCTCTTTGATGCTCACCTTTAACACACTGATGCCATCTTCATTCCATCCACAGCATGATGAATATCCTGGTCAGGTTAGTCAAAACAGGGCCACCACGTGAAGGTCCCAGGATACCAGCCCCAACATGCTTTCAGTATCATCGGGCCCATCGCTGTGACAAGGGCGTACCAATGCCACTGTCCGGTCCACCCCAAGGGGTGCCCTAACTTCTATGCATGCCGCCCCTCAACCCCCGTCCCCCATCGGGGGGTGATTAGAGGACGTAGCAGCGTTTGCTCACCAAATATGATAACAGGGCCATGCCCCTAAAAAGGGACAAGACTACCCGCACCTTTAAGACAAGCATCCTGTTTCCAGGCCGTTGCTCAGGTCTGTACCGCGCCGATGGTACACCCTTTCATTCGCACCACCACGCTTTCAGTATCATTGGGCCCATTGCACGTGACAGGTTCAGACCCCTTAGCCCGTAGGCCTAGCGTCCTACTTACTGCCTCGGTCCGGTACGCCCCCCGAAGAGGGTGTCCTCAACTTACTTGCGCGCGCCCGCCACTCCACTGAGGGGAGAGTGGGGACGTAGCAACGCTGGCCCACCGACTATGGAAACCATGCCGACCCCCAAACGCAGAGACCTCATCGAGGTGATTCCACGCAGGGGGACACAAAGCTCCTTTAAGACAAGCTTCCCGTTGCTGATTGTGCTGGGTTTTCGCCGCACTTCTCCATGGAGACCCAGCAACTCCGCCCTAACTTAAGCCCTAATGACTCCCACAGTCTTCACTTTTCAGATGGATAAAATATCCCACAGAACCAAAAATTTGATGTTTACTGGGAAAAAAAAATTAAAAATGGCCCCAATTGTAAGTATATGGATGTGTTTATGCCCTAAAGGCAATGCACTAGTTCAAGCAGATTTAATTAGTGGGGCCTTGCAGCAGTGATGGATCAAACACCCAGTTCCTTATATCCTAACTTAATGTTCCATGGACATAATGTAGTAGAAATTTGATTTTGAGTTACAATTACCACTTTTTTGAAATAATAGTGATGACCATAACAGCTTTTGCTGTTCTCCGCCAAGGAGTAAACGGTGCTGTATTTGCTCCCCCTGGAGCAGATATAATCCATGATCACAAACACATCCCCCTTCCCCCCCCCCCCCCACCTTACCCATCACAAACACATAAACACATATCTGAACCAGCCTGGGGAAATAGACAGAATCAAAAATGAAAACAAAAATTGAGGATTTTTTGTTTTGTCTTTTTTTTGGGGGGGGGGGGGCAAAAAAAGCAGGCCTAAAGACAAACAATTTGAGATTACAGAAATACCTTTTTAAATGCCAATTAATGCCATTAAGTTGGTATTTTTCCCCCCAATTTCCCTTCATTTTACCAAGGAATGCATTCGAAAGATACTTACTAAATTTGCTTTTACTTACATTTTCCCAAGATGGTTCAGGTTTATTTTATCTACAAGCAAATTTGAACCCAAAAATGTTTCCATTCTATTGATGGCAGTTATATTTTAAGAAGCCAAATTAAAGCTAAAACATGCTTGGTTCACATGAGATGCAGTTGCCACAGCATCAACCAGTCAGAAAGAATTCAAATTTGCTTGCAAATGGGAAAAAAAAACTTGGTCCGACTCACTCTGAACAACCCATCAAATGACTCCTCTTCATCCAGGGGGACAAGACTTGAGTGCATGTGGCCTAGAAGAGCTGCAGAGAAATGGTTACCTCACCTCAGTTTACATGCAACCTTGTCCCCCTCGTTCTCATTCATCGCACAATCCAAAGCGACTCCACTTGCAAACTGTACGGCAACATCCGGGGGTCTTGGGCATGTTCAAGCCTGCAAAAATGGTTACCTCACCTTATGAACATGCAATCTTGTCCCCCGGCCTCTACCCCAGCTGTCTGTGGCCCTGCGGTGAACTTCTGCAATACAGGCATCTTGGTCATGCTCCCATCCAGATAACGTCTCAAGGGTACCTGCAGACAGACCAAAAGCACTTCAAATTAATGAAAGAAGCAAAATCATGTTTTACTGCTCAACAAACAAAAGTGCATGTATCTCCTATCCCATGCAAGTGAAAAAAAAATTGGCGGCATCGTCTCAAGAAGTGCAAGACCACTTGATTATGATGTGATATCAAAAGGTTCGCAGTGAACCACACAAAAACAGGTTCAAACCTCACTGCAGTCAATTTCTTTGTCCAAATTTACAATAAATTATTGATCACTTTTCCTTTTGAGGTTAGGAGGAGTTGGCCAGTTGCATGGAGTCAAGGGAGGTGTGGCGCGTCAGGCATCGTTCCCGCCTCAAGACGGCCTCACGGCAACGTCTCAAGCCGACTTGATGATGATTAGTTCCATTTTCTCCCTTTGCATTTAGACATACGAGTGTAGTGTATGCGACCCAGCCAGTGAAGGCATCCACCACATGATGCAATGCCTGTCATGCATGTCTTACTTTAATAATCAAGACACATATGAAAACACGACCAAATACTAATAGTGTCTGATTCTTGTAAAGTGGGGATTGAACATTTACCAAAAAGAGAGGGGAGGGGGCACCGAAAAGGGAGGCGAACCCAGCCAAACAGAAAAGTAAGGCATATAATTTGCTCACATAGGTAAACATGTTTGTCTTTACAGTGATTAAGTGACCATTTGACAGCAGAAGAAACAGGAAAAGAGACAACTGCATATAATACCAGACTTATGCTTGTGAACAAACACAGGGCTGTTTTGGTAACTCTTTTGTGACATATGTAAAGTTTCTACTTCCATCCAGGAAGGAAATGTAGTTCTGTTTATAATAAATGGTGGCATATAGTGTGTGATTGCATTCTCATAGGATTTTAAATTATGACGTCACATGTCACATCATGATGACATCACATCTATCTTCATCTATAATCATCTATAACAACCTGCTGCTAGAGGACACTCTATTCATTTTGTAACGTCACCGTTAAAACTTTTTGTAAAGAACTACTAAGACAAAGCATCCTGTTGAAAACAAGTTCCCATCTTTTACAAATTTTAAATTACCAGCACTTCTGATTTGAACCAAAAGGAAGGGTCACATGATTTTGCATGAAGACCCCGAGTTATTCTATCGATTCCCGCAAAAGTCATGTTCTTGGCCCAATTTCATGACGCTGCTTAACAGCTTAGCATAAAAGTATTAATTGTTTAGCATAGCAGAACAATTTGCTAAACCTTAAGCACTATTTCACGGAGTGGATGTGCTTACTGTCGCTCGCGTTTTGTGTCCCCTGGATTTGCAGGGCGTCAAGCGATGGAATAAAATCCATTTCTTGACGGCTGTGGACGACTGGGAAGACAGGTTTGGACAAACCTTAATCAAAGTGGTCTTTTCCATAGCAGCCTGATAAGTAACAGGGAATTGCCAGTGAAATATCGGCGTCCGTGTGTAAGACGAAAACACCGAGTATTCAGTGCAGCATGAGGGATTTGTTAATACTAATAGGAAGTCAGTAACTTGCATGTAATGGAATGCCTTGGATACAAAATGAATGGCTATGAATACTACATCACTCCCCTTTTTTTGGAACACGAAAACAATCAGGATGCCAAAATTGTTTGTTTTTGGTAAGCGCTGTGTGCTCGTTCAAACAAAGGAGGATTAGGTAAAAACACGTTATATAAGATCAAAACAGTTATGATTAAGCAGTTATATAAAGTGTAAACGGTTACATCTTCATAAAAATCAAAATGGTTACATGTAAAAATCAAAACGGTTACATGTATATACAAGGTCAAACTGTCATGATTGAAACCAAGTGTTCTCTGGTGTTGATAGTTCGATTGGCCAAGTTATTTCACAGTATAGTCTTTGAAATGCGCTGGTGGGTGGTGTGCTCGAGGTGGGTTTCTGCGTGGTGCTTGATTGGGTGTTTGGGTAGGTGCATCAGGCATGTCATCAGGTCAGACTCATCTCAGTCATATGTGATGGTTCAGGTTGATCATTGATGCGCTTGAAGCGAGACCTGTTGCGAGTCACTCTGTGAGACCTGTGTCGAGCAGTGATCATGGACCCTCGCGTGTCGGTGATGGTGTGGGGTTGAAGGTGATATGGTGTTTGGTCCTTTGCAACATATACCATCGCGGCGGGATGAGAACTGTGTCAGCCACTTTGATGTTTCTGTGTTTGGCGTGTTCATGCTTGTCCGCGTATGCCTTCATGACAATCTTTCGACATTTGTCTTTGCGTTCAGCGTTGGGAGTCGTGTGTGTAGTCTCCGGAAGGCGAGTGCGCATTGGCCTAACGAAGAGAAGTGTTGCAGGAGGGGTACCTGTGGTCGCGTGTGGGGTTGCGCGGTAGTTTTGAAGGAACTGGAAGAGGGTTTGCTTCCACTGCTTGTGGTCAGCAATGGCGGTGGGATAGGTTTTCTTTAGAGTTTGCATAAACCGCTCGACCTCTCCATTTGCGCGTGGCCAACGTGGCGTGACTTTGCGGTGCTTGAAGCCTAGGTAGTCCGCAAAGTTGGAGAACTCTCCACTGTTGAACGGTGGGCCATTGTCCGTGTGTAAAAACTTGTGTCACACCGAACATTGCGAATATGCGATCGAGTTTCGGGATGACTGCGCGTGCTGATGTAGATGAGACGATTTCGATCTCTGGAAACCTGCTGTAGTCATCAATGACGACTAGGATGTGCTCACCAGAAGAAAGGTCACAGAAGTCAACACTGACCTCAAGCCATGGATCGTTGGGGAGTGGCAACATTTGCAGTGGAGCGCATGTAGTGTCCACTGTCGAGGCTTGGCACAGCAGGCAGTCGCGGATGGTTTGGTCAACCAGACGATCAATGCCAGGGAACCATATTTTCTCGCGCAGTAGTTGTTTGGTTTTGGATATTCCCTGGTGCCCCTCATGGGCGATGTTGATGACTGTTTGTTGGAGAGTTTGGGGAACGACAATACGGTGTCCGCGGAGTGGGAGATCGCGATTTGTGGTTGTGGTAAGCTCAGCACGTATCTTGTGTAAGCTTCGCACCATGTCACTGGCCTGCTGATTGTGTGGTTGGGTGAGAAGTCTGTCCCAACTACCAGTGACCAATGCGTTGATGCAGTTCTGGAGAACTTGATCTTGTTGTGTTACGGTTTGGAGTTCTTCCAGTTTAACAGTTTTGGGCACTGCGTTCTCAGCGATGAAGTTGAGATGTTCTTCAGGGATCTTTTGTTCTCTGCTTGGAGCTTGCGTGTGGGGCTGGGGGTGACGTGACATGTAGTCAGCAGGGTTTAGCTTACCCGGCTGGTATTCAACAGTGAAGTTGTACTCCT